CCCCCAGCGGTGGCTTCGTGCAGATGGACGTCCAGAATGACTCCGGAAGGTCGTTCAGCTGTCCAGTCTAATTAGCATATTACACTTTTATTACTATAGGTTTATTTTGTTAATCCTCACCTTAGGATTATTTTTCCATTGATTTTTTTTTAGAGAGAGTGGAAGGGAGTGAGAGAGGAAGGAGGGAGGGAGAGAGGGAGGGAAGGAAAGGGAAGGAGGAAGAGAGACACAAATAGATGTGAAAGAGACACACTGGTTGCCTCCTACACTCACCCCAACCAGGGCCTGGTATTGAACCTGCAACCCAGGTACATGTCCTTGACCATGACTCAAACCCAAGACCCTCCAGTGCACAGGCCAATGCTCTAATCATTTAGCAACACCAGCCAGGGCCATAAAACATTTTTAAGATAAGTAGGAAAATATAAAAATGGACTGGGTATTATTAGATGAAGTTACGGTATTAATAATTTTGTTGAATCAATAATGGTATTGTGTGTTCTTTTAAGACTTTATCTTCTAGAGATACAAAATAATGTTTTTATAAGTGAAATCATATTGTTAATCCTCACCTTAGGATTATTTTTCCATTGATTTTTTTTTAGAGAGAGTGGAAGGGAGTGAGAGAGGAAGGAGGGAGGGAGAGAGGGAGGGAAGGAAAGGGAAGGGGAGGGAGGAATAGATAATGCACTAGAGAGACACAAATAGATGTGAAAGAGACACACTGGTTGCCTCCTACACTCACCCCAACCAGGGCCTGGTATTGAACCTGCAACCCAGGAACATGTCCTTGACCATGACTCAAACCCAAGACCCTCCAGTGCACAGGCCAATGCTCTAATCATTTAGCAACACCAGCCAGGGCCATAAAACATTTTTAAGATAAGTAGGAAAATATAAAAATGGACTGGGTATTATTAGATGAAGTTACGGTATTAATAATTTTGTTGAATCAATAATGGTATTGTGTGTTCTTTTAAGACTTTATCTTCTAGAGATACAAAATAATGTTTTTATAAGTGAAATCATATCATCTTTGGGATATTTAAATAGTCTAGAAAAAAACAAATGAAGTATAGAAGACACATTAAACAAACAGTAGACTGTGATAGGTACCTAAGGATTCACTAAGCCATTCTGTTTATTTTAGTTCATGTCTGTAATTGTCCATAATAAAAAGTTAATGAAAGTATAGTACATAATCTTCCTGTCAAAAATTGAAAACTACCACGGTAGCCAGTTTGGTTCAGTGGATGTATATAAATTATGGTTTATATACAAAATGATAAAAGCGAGAAGTGGCATAGGGAATCCTCAAGCCAAACTCCTTTCATCTCTACTAACCAAGTCCCAAATAAGCTCCAACAAGCATAAATAGAAATCAAAACTGCATGCTGGTTATGCATAACAGGTACAAGACAAATTACCTATCCCTCTTCCAACAAGTTTGCCAGGACAAACTCCTTATATTAATGCTTAATCAAACTTTCTACACACAGATGTAAAAACATAAAATGGTATCAGGAGCTGCTCACAAAATATTAAGCAAAAAAAAGCAGGTTATAAAGTGTATATGCTGTATTTTACTATTTAAAATATAGGACATATGATTCCAAAAAGGCTGCGAAGAAACAATGAAATATTAAGGTTTGTTATCTCTATTATTTATATTTTCTTCCATACATGTTACTTAGATGTTATTTTAAAATGGAAATAATAAAGGCTTTGAAGAATAATTGTATACAGCATCAAGGAGAGGCCAAGTGGCCAAGTAAGGCTAATTTTCCAAAGCTTAATGAAAACTTTATCATTAAAACATTATTTAGGGTAAACCTAAAGAAAACCCTGAAGTCAGATCATTAATGACAAATAGCATTAAAGTAATGGTTGTAAGCTTCTTGTCATTATTTATTAACCTAAGGTTGAAAGTCTCATTCAAAGACATCTGAATGATCTGAATATTTTGCAAATCAAATTCAGAATTCAATGTCCACATTTAACTGGTCTGGTTTTCAGATAGTGCTTGGTGATGCACAAACCCACCAGATAAACACTTCCTTTCCTAGATACTTCCTTTCAGTTCGCCGTTTCCCTTTCCAAGCAGCGACTGAAAAATTTAAAACATCACACTTGTTGTCTAGACTTCCGCAAAGCAGGCTGCCGCAAAACGAGAGTGCTAACAAATTCGACACGTCTTCTAAGATAGGTTGAAAGCCCATTTCTGCTAACAGCTAGAGAGGACAGAAGCGTGAAAGCAACACGGAGAAACCCTAGTCTGACATAAATGCCCAGTTGCGATGTTGCAAATCCCTCGATGAATTCAAGTGTAAAAAAGAACAACCACCCCACCTCCAGGCGAAAACGGTGCTTTCATTAGGGACTTCGGGGCCTATTAATTTTAGAAGCAGCATCAGCCTCCCAATCGATGTCATCACTAGAAGCCCGCTGGGGTTTCATAATTCCCACTTGCTTAGCATCTTTCTACACAACATCAAGCTACAAAAAGACTGAAATGAATGCAAAAAAAAAAAAAAAACCGGCCAGATTCCAGGGAAGCCCGATGAGATTCAAAGGAAGGAGTTCAGCAAGCGACAAATAATGGTCCCTCTGTCCCCAGGGCGCTGGAGTGGTGGTCCCCAGACGGTGCCAAATGGAGATGAAGATGCCCTGTCCCCCCCGCCTCCCCAACCCCGGCTCCGGCCCTCGGGCCAGCACCTGCCGGCCGCCGCGCTTCTGA